TTCCTGAGCTGTCCCTCCACCCTTCTGAGCATGATGTCCTTCTCCAAGGTCCTTCCTTGCCACGTGCCCAAAGTATGTGAGACAGAGCTTCAAAATCCTAGCCTCCAAGGGAAAACTTGGTTTTACCCACTCCAAGAAAGAAGACAGACCTATTGGTCTGATTATAGAATTTGAAAACTCGCTATGGTTCTCCTTATAACTTGGCTGCCAGGAAGCTCAGTGTTGAACTCAGGACCCCATCACAGTAAATGTCCTGCACATTCCTCTCATAGTTCCTTTTTTCTATCTTATTAGGACCGCAGAGGAGCTGTGGTTGCTTTGTGGCCAAAAAAATACATCTGTTGGCCAAAAGAGTAGGGAAGAAAAATGAAGCAGTCTGCTTCTATAAAGATTTACAGACTTGGAATACCTTTGGCCAGATCTACTCTGTCCTACAGGGTTGGTTTGCAACAGAATTGACTTCCTAGCTGTGGGCTTAGGTTTTTAATTTGGTTTAATCTAATGCTTCTAAGACAGATTCATACACATACACAGAAGCAGAGAGTTCTTTAAATTATACAAGAAATCCACTCATCAAGCAACCATTATGTTCCTCATACTATTCTAAAGGTTGGGACACAATTAGTTAGAAGATCATTTGTATGAGAGAAATTAATATATTTTCATTGCATCATTATGAGAAGGAAAAAGAAATCTGCTAATCAGAGAAATTTCAAGAAAATAGAACCCTAAAGTTACTTCTTGAGAAAAGTTTGCCAATGTCAACTTAATCTTCACAAAGAGTTAGTTCGTGTGTGTTGCAACAACAGTGTGTGTCAACTTCTAACTATTGCATGCCAGGGTAATAAAAACAGGTTACTTGATTATACAAATTGCTTTTCAGGGATATCACAATAAAACCAGTCTTCATCCTTGGGCATGAGCTAAACACCAACAGGACTACAGTTTTCTAACTTTAGTATATATTACCCCTAACAACAGAAATCAATTTAAACTTTCTGTTTAAATTGTCCCCAATGATTGGGCTTCATGTCTTCAATGTCCTATCTTGGAACCTTGAATGCCATAAATAAGAATCATGTGCCGGGACAAATACTAATCAAGAAATATGATGTACTTCGTGTGGCAGGCCAGGGGAAAATAACTGCCAACTGCAGAAGGGGTTTTCTTTTAGAGTTGACTTCAAGGTTGGTGGGCCTAAATTTGCCTTTGTTTTGCTTGCAAATGTTTCACACAGTGACCCCAGGTTAGCCTGCCAGCTGTCAGCCTAATGTCGGATAAGGTATTGAAATTTACAAGGTTCTTGCCCTTGGCTTCCACGCAGGGGGAACTCATTCCCACACACAATTTAAGGCCTTGCCTACTCACAATGGGCCTGTAGTCCCAGAAAGCAGTCCAGCAAGATTGCCTGCAGATACCCTTGTGCTGCCCGCCTACCTCAGCAATTGCAAACCTACTAGTACTTCAACCTTTGCAGGAGAAAGTTGTGTAAGTACAATATTTTATTTTGAGCAAAATAGTGGATTTTCTCAGGTTGCACTAGGTGTACTATGCTGACATAAAGATCTTTAAATAAGAGACACCTGTTTGGCTGAGAAACCAAGTTAACATTTTATGTTGCCTTGATTTTCTAAGCAAATCCAAACATTGGAATAGCTTGCATTTAGAAAAGAAAAATTATTATAAGCAACATCTCAAAGAATTGAGAGTAGCAACGAATAGCAAAGGATAATGATTGATTTTCATTGGTCAAGAGAGCATCCCAGGCTTGTCCCCAAAAGGCTGCAAGGGAAATGTTAGCCAACTAGTGCCTTCGTCAATATGTACTACAAAACTCTAAGTTTATGTAGCAAGATAAGGCAAGATTGCCAAACTCTTATGAATACAAATGTGAAAGTTCTAACAAATGGGTAAAGCAGAATGTCAGGAAGATGACTGTTTGAGTGTAAGGAAGGCAGTACTCGTGTTTCTAGATCTTTACATTTCTTCAGCATCTCGCTTGGATTCCATTCAAGTAAATTAAATCACATAAGCACAAAATGCGATGAGATGACCAATTTGGGAAGGGAGGCTGAAATCTCTCCCTCCTTCCTCCTTTGGAGCCCCTGGCCTCAGGCTTTCTTTACTAATGGCATTTCGTTTCTAGGAAAGTCCCTCGCTTCTTTCGGTCTAATTATCTCATTGTACAAATCTTTCAAAAAGAAAGAAAAGAACTACGTTTGCTCTATGAGCGGACATCTTTTCTTTTGCTCTGGCTCTTGGGAAACCTTCACCCAACTATCCCTGAAAAGGATGTCGCCGAAGGGTGATGAGGCTTGAAATCCCGTCGTCCTCTCTTTTCTTTCTCTCTCACGCTACCTCGCTACCCTCCCTTATCATCTCTCCTAATTACCTCCCCTAGTCCCCACGTATGCACTGCCGCCAGTTTAAATTAGAGCTTTTCAAAGAGTTTCATCAGTCTGTTTGTCTCCCTTACCAAGACGCACTTTCAGCTGAAGACAAACAAGCCGCCTGGCCAGGCATGGGCAAATAAAATACTTGAGGGGGGGAAGACCGAATGGGAAAGTCTGGTTCTACCTAATTGTGATTAAGTATTTTGGAGATAAAAGAGTATATTCTTCTGATAGCATCGAAAGCTGATTTCTTAATTCTTGCTCTCCCCCCTCCACACCCCAGCAAATTAATATTGTCTTAAAATGTACCAGGCACTATTGTAAAAACACTTTTAAAATCTAGTTCTCATAGGTTTAAAGAGAAAAAGAATTTTTTTTTCTAAGCGACATTAAATCCGTGAGTGCTTTTCTTACGTTCCTGATAAAATCTGCTTCATATCAAGGTGGGGGAGCTAAGTCTTCAAAGACAAACAGGGTGTGGGAGGTACCTTTAACCACTGCCTACTTTATTGCAAACCATTTTCCTCTTTGCCATTTTCGCAGCGCTTGTAATTACACTAGGATGGTGAGCAGGCATTCAAATTCTTTTTCTGTGACGTTCTCAGGTTTTACCGCAGGCGTTTCGAAGCGCATGCTAATTTGCTCGTGTGGCAAGCACTGATTGCACCTGCAGGTTATTCGCGTTCAGAAAAATCTATAACAACGATAAAAAAGGAAGCTCCTCTGGTGTCGAGCTTGAGCCGCTCGAGGCTGGGTTCGTACTGCCGTCCCGACACTGCGACCCGAGAGGTGGAGCTCAGCGCGCCGAGAACGCGCGGTGCGCAGGGCCGCGGAGCTGGGGCGACGGCGGCGAAGGAGGCCGAGCCGGTGGGGATGCGCACCGCCCGCCTTGCAGCGGAGCAGGGGCCCTGGGACGCGCGCGGGGCGGGCTGCCGCCCAGGACCGAGCTAAGCGGGAAGTCAACGGCTCCTGCGGGCGGCCGGGGCGCCCCGCGTTGACCCCCGCCCGGCCCCTTTGCTGTGCAATTTGCCAGGGTCAAGTTTCAGAAGTCAGAGAGGAACGTTTCGGATTTCTGTTCACACGGTTATTGCAGGCACTGCGGTGGGGACGACACAAAAGAGATGAGGGCGTGGGGAAAGGGTTTTGTATTTTAATGAGGGCTGAACGTGCTGGCTGCAGGTTCCCCGCTGCCCCCACCCCGACCCCAGCGTTGGCGTCCCTCTCCGGGTCTCCCCCTGTCCTTTCACGTCGCCTTTCCCTTCTCCCCGCCCTCGCCACCCTGGCTCTCGCCCTTTTCCCTCCCCCTTACTTCTTGGGTGGGGAGAAAACAGTGTCAAAGACACACCAGGCAGACCTCAAGATCTGCCCCGTGGCGGACGGTGGTAATGATGATTAACAAACGCCCCTTTCTCCGCCGCTTCCCCCGACCGAGCCTGGAGCTGTCCCTCCACCACGTGTGGAGTCGCGGCTCCGCAGAGGCCGAGCCTCCACCAGCTTCCGGGTGACCCGGCGGCAGCCCGCCAGCACGGGTCCCCCGCTCGTCTCGCTCAATTCCTGCCCGGCGTAGTCGGTTTCAACACAGACAGCGAAAGCTTGCAAATAGGTTTGAAAGACATCGCTATCCAATGCACTAAAATTTGGGGAGGGGGGAAGAAACGCAGTCTTAGAGAGGGTCTTCACGCCCCACATTCAAATTAACACTGCGGTTCCACACCCCCAGAGGAGGGGAGAATTGAAACAATTATCTACAGATGCAAAAAATCGGACCCGATAAACTTCTAAATTATGTGCGGAAATGCCTGCACCCTTGCCCTAGTTCTTCCTATTATTGCAGAAGATACAACTCCCATCCAGTCCACTAAGGCTGCAACAAGTGATTTATAAACCGTTTGAAAAAATCGCTTGGTGACCGACCACCAGCAGGTTAAGTACCTAGTCTGGGAAGCTCACGCTTTTAACTGTCCACAGCCCAGATGGATGAGGAAAGAAAATGTTTTCAAAACTCCAGTGACCGCCCAGGGCGGCTTAATCAGCAGTTTGGATACCAACAAGGGACAACTGTGTGGGGCGGCTACGCACGCTTGCACACATTCAGCCATGCGTTTGAGGTTATACGCCTAACACAACACTGAAACTTCTAGGGCATGATAGTGGGGCGCAAAGGAGATCCGGAGCCAGGGCCCTGGAAACTGCCCCTAGCCAGCCAGTCCCTGCTGTGCCCGCGTTCAAGGGCTTCCCAGTGTGGAGTTAACTCCGGCACCCAGTGGCCTCTGCCCGCCCGCCCGCGCGCGGCTGCAGCTTCCCGTCCCGAGGTGCGCGCTGCGTTCCCACGCCTCGGCCGGAGCTCGGCAGTCAGCACCCGCAAGTACGGCCCGCCTCTCTGGTCCAGCCAATCGCGAGCCACGCCGGCCAGGGAAGGCGTGGCTTGGCGGGCGGCGGGGGCTGGCGCGCTGGAGGCTGCAGAGGGGCTCCCCGCCCGCGCGGAGGGGCGTGCCCGGCGCCGGCACTTGCGGCCGAGCTGGGCTTCGGCGTGGGAAACAGCTGCGAGGAGTCAACCGCGCAGCGCGGGAGCCGCGCCGCCTGCCGGGGCCGAGGGAGGGTGGGAGGGAGGAGGAGGAGAAGGCAGGCGGGGAGGGCGCTGGCCTGCGGGGCTGCTCTGCGTCCGTGACTACGGCCGGGCAGCGCCCCGCGCCGCCTTCGCGGCAATGAAGCGCCCTTGCGAGGAGACGACCTCCGAGAGCGACATGGACGAGACTATCGACGTGGGGAGTGAGAACAATTACTCGGGGTGAGCGCGGGCTCTCCGGGCCTGCCCGGAGTCGGAGGGTGTCGGGGAGCTTTGTGCACCCGCAGCTCCTTGGTAATCTCGTGGCCGTTCTGGTCGTCTTGGAGTAACGAGCAAAAGTTTTGCACGAGAAACTTCGGTGGGCGCTCTCTGAAGTTACACTGCGGTGGGGCGAGGGGTGCATGTTTTCTTTACTTGAGGAGGGAGGGCGAGGACGGTGCGAGACTGAAAGAAGAGGTGCCGGGGGCTAAGCTGGGAGAATCCCCGCTGTCAGCGGGTGGGCGCGCGAAACCTGCGCGTCCTGGAGGCGCCACCGAAATTGCTTGGGGGTGAACTTGCGAAATGGTCTAGGGGGAAAGAAAATGCAGATTGATTTTAAAACCTTTATTTTGAAACTGAAAATACGACTTGCTTTTTGGAGAAGTTAAGGCAGTTGAGATGTCAAGGGCTGAGTAGCTTTCCATGTTGATTGCATGTGACTGGACGGACGTGCTAGTGAGTGACAGATGTAAAGGATTCGTTCGGGCAGCATCTCTTTGACGGGTTGTTCATAAAATCTAGAAAAGATCGAGGTCGTGATCACAGAAGTCAGATCTCCACTTTTCTTTGACACAGGGAAATTACCGAGGCCTTTCAATGCCTACGCGTGGGTCAAATGATAATTGTTTCTTAATTGGCTTTTCCAGAAGCACCTTAATTGTTTATCTGCAGCTGTTGCTAAAAGAACGAAATTTTTCCCATTTTGGAAAACTGGTTTTCCTAGATAAAGTTATTCTAATAAGTACATACTAAAGCTTGAAGTCGTCAAGAGCAAAGATGTTTACACAAAACTCTGTGAAGTGTCTATCTAAAATTAGAAAATCACTTTTCCCATCTTAAATGAAGTCTGAAAAACAGAAGATGTCACGGAAAATGAGAAACCAGTTGACGGGGTGGCAAGGAAGGGGACATACATTTAGAAATCCAAAAGTGAAAAGTGTGAGGGACGATAAACCTGATGCATGCAGCATTTCTAAAATAAAAAGAACAGAAGCCTAGAGATTTTGAAAACATGGAATATAATACCCATGAATTATGAAGAGAAACTGACGGGCTAAGATCTTAAAAATAATAAGGAAGAAAAGAACAATCAGAATTTACAGTATTAAAAAAAAAGTTTTGTCCGTGTAAATTCTTGATGAGTAGCGGTTTGTAGAGCTTTGCAGTTATATTAAAGGATGAGAGATAACCTGTAGTTTCATTTTCAAACTAAGACAGTTATCTAGTCCTTGATCCAATTGTTCTCTGTGACATAATTTCATTTGGGACATGCTTTTGTTGGTTTTTTCCCCTTGTGAGATGCAATTTTGAGGTAGATAAGGTTCATTTTGAAGATTACATCTAGGGACAACACTTTATCATGTTTTACTTTTACTTTAACAGTTCAGTCTGTGTATGTGACAGGAAGGAAGATGAGAAAAACTGTTAGAACAGTGAATTGGCTTGAGAAAGATATGGGACTAGGAAGAATTACCTATTCTCTTATCCTTGTTGTGGTGGTGATATACCAACTCAGAGCTAACCCTCCAGTGGATTTTCAGAGGCAGTTAATCCCACGGGAGGAGATTGCCCAACGTCTCATCCTAGTTGCCCATAATTATTTTCCTGGGAGATTTCAATAAATGTCCAAGGAAGTTTTTGTCAGTAAATTGATCATACGGATTATCCATGCACATACCTCCATCCTGCTTCCCAAAAAAAGGCATTATCCTCTTTAGAAAGAAAAATGACTGAAAGCAAAGTATGCTTAGAGCAAAATTGCAGAATAAAATACACATGAGCTAAGTACTCACTATCATTAGTATTCACCTGTGATGTCAGTAGCACCTAGAAAAAGCAGTTGTTGGGTTAAAGTAGCACCTGACACACACTTTCTATTTCATAGGCAAAGTAGCTCTGTGATGAGATCGAATTCTCCAACAACAACATCTCAGATTATGGCAAGAAAGAAAAGAAGAGGGGTATGTGATATTTTTAATTTAATCCAGTCTAATGTGTAACCGTTGTTTCTCCAAAATGAGCAATTTTATCATTTGTGTATTCATACTTTGTTGTTGTTTGGCTTTCTTTGTGATAGATTATAGAGAAAAGGCGTCGGGATCGGATAAATAACAGTTTATCTGAGTTGAGACGACTAGTGCCAACTGCTTTTGAAAAACAAGTAAGCTACCCCTACCCGCACCCCACCCAAAAAAGCTCAAACAATCAAATTTTCTCATCTGGGAATGTGGGTTCTTGTTAAAGCTCATTAAAATAATGGTGTATGTTCCCTGATCTGGCACAGAGCAGCTATTTCAATAAAATGCTTTGTTGTGGCAAAACTATTAAAAACATAATCCATCATGAAGTTGAAAAACATTTCCATTCTTTTGCTTATTTTCCCCTTAAGGGTAACTGTACATGCTTTCTCTGTTCTTTCTATGAAAACCAGTAGTGGTTTTGTGAAAAACAATGCTATATGCAGTATTCTTAATGGGGTGGGGGACAAAGAACATATATGAAAGTTCATTTTTGTCTTAAACGGTTATTAAATACCGTAAGTTTTTTATTTTTTAAAAATATATAACCAAAGTCTAGAAAGAAACATCCTGCTCTATTTTTAAAAATAATAATAAAATGTATTTATCAAACCATTTACTTTCATTTTTAATACTTGTGTTAAAGAATGATGTTTGGTTTGGAACACAATGTTGAAAGATTGGTGAAAATCTAATCATAGATCCCTTTTTCAGAATTTAAGCATGCTTTTGAAATTTTTTTCTTACATATTTAGCAAAGTATAAAACTTAATGTTTGTCCTTTGTGATTTAAGAGAATGTGTATTCGTCATCTTGCTATAATGGCTAATGGTGTGAATCGCTTAAAGAGTATCTTCAAAAGATGACAGAATATTGTTGTAAATATTATAATTGTAGTTGTTTATTCCATTTTATTTACTTCGTGAACCTGAAAGCATTATAAAACAAGTCTTACAAAAAACTCTTGGAAATGACCCAGAAACTGTAGTTTTCATTACTCACTTTTACTGAACTTCATGGAAAAGAACATGGACAAAAGAACAAGCCTGTTTTATATGTTGAGACTGTCTTTGATAAGTTAAATGTCATAGAAATGGAAGTTTTGATTAGTAACATTTTCAATGACTTAGAGGTTACAGATGAAAACATAACCTATGATGTCTTTAAAATTTTGCACACGCAAGCCTCTTCAGTTAGGAGGAACGGTCAATTTGATTTCTTTTTCTTGGTTTGTTAGATTTTTTTCCCCCCTTTAAATATTGACTTAAATCTTAAAAGCTAACCTCAGTTGTTTGGCAGTTAGTAACCATAAACACAGGCCTTCCCATTTTCAGGACTTGGCTACCAACTCCAGTAAGCTGGCCTTGTCACAATATTAGAATGTGGAGCCCTTAAATGCCTCTGGCAATCTCACCATGTACTGGAGTAACTTAAACAAATAAAACATAAGAATCTGAGATAAAATTTAGTGTCCTTTCGGCAAAGGGCTGGCTGGGAAGGACAGAATTAGTTTAGTTCTTGAACTTCTCTTGAAACTTCTATGCCACCCACAACCCTCCGAGACAGTGTAAAGTGGCACTTTTCTATTTCAACTGATTTCTAGATGTTACCTTATTTTAAAAGGTGAGAGAGACCCAAGAAAACATGTTTCTAAGAAAATTTACTTAAAACTATTTCCAAAGGATTCCAAAATCCCTAAGGGTTTGCGAATCTTCCTCAGTAAGTGGTTAACTCTGTCTCCCCATTTAAGATCTTGGAATTCACAGTGACACCTGCTGGTTATAACTTTCAAATATTCCCCCCTTTTTTTTAGATTTCTGGCTCTGCTGACCATTGCTCTCCTAAGGACTTGGAGGGGGTTTTTATTTTTAAAAAATCTACTTTAAACAATAATTTTCTAAATTCCTCTCTCCTTACAGATCATAGCATGATATAAACTATTCCATTTCCCTTACTAAAATTAAATATACTCCAGAATAGGGACTAGATGTAAACTTTTAAATTTTCATTATTCTAATAGTTAGTTTAGGAATAGAATTGCTCCTATGATTAAAAAAAAAAAATCCCACCATGCTTTCAGTCTTTAAGGAACCATTATGGGAAGCTCAACTCTCAAAGTGTTTTTATGAGTCAGAAATTATTAGATGTCAGGAGGTGGTGTGGGTTAGCCTTAGTTATTTAGTTATTATGTACCTTTAGTTATTAGAACAACAAACACTTGTCTCTAGGTATTACATAGTAATCAGTGTTTCCATGTAAAATTTGAAACAAATGTATTATTTGTGTGAAAACAAATTAGAAGTTTTTTCAGTGAGAGGGAAAATTGAAGCTACAAAGCAAAATTCAGTGCAAAAGGTAGCAAGGTAATTTCTATAGGACTTGTAAGGCTATTATTTGTCAATACAGGGATCTGCAAAATTAGAAAAAGCTGAAATACTGCAAATGACCGTGGATCATTTGAAGATGCTACAGGCAACAGGAGGTAAAGGTAAGTAGGTAATTTGATTTTTTTTTTTCATCTTTCCCCCTAATATTGTAAGGAAGTCATAGCTGCTTTTTAACAAGCTGAGGCAGTCCCAGATTAAAGCTGTGGAAATCAATGCTAATGGCAGGATTGAACTCGTGGGAAAGAACTTCTGGAACAAAAGAAGCTCTTGACCCTGGACTTGTGTTTGCTTTCATAATACTGTGGGAGGAAAGCTTCATTCATAGAGAGCTGGTCAGAGATTCAGACGTTTATTTGGGACGTCAGGAGAGCACGTTGGAATCTGGACAGAAAGACAAAACAAATATACAAACATAAACAGGAGGTTAGTGCAATCTTTTTCGTCTTCTCTTTGCCTGCCTTTTTTCCCATTAAATCAGGACCAGGACTTAGTGTAAGGGCTATTCCAAAAGTAGTAACTCTGGAATTATTTTTGTTGGTTTTCCATTCTGGGTTTTCTGGGATTAAAACCATGCAGAACGTATGTGCAGCTGTCTAGATTAGAAACCATGAACAGAGCTGAATCACTCCTGGGAACAGCAAATGGGCACATGTTTTCTGGACCCAGTGCCCTGGGTGATGTCTTTAGTGCTACATAGGGATGGAGAAGTTTTCAAGGGCCTCAAGGAAGGACTTTGACCTACTTAGCATAAATGAACTTGAAATCCTGAAATTAAAATATCCAGTTTCCCCACTCAAAATTCACTCCATTTTCCCTTTTTGTATCCTTTCTCAATTTCAAAAAGCCTTTGATATTCATCGTAGTCAAGGGTATTATTTAATATATTTAAGAAATAGATAAAAAGGAGGTACCAAAAGGAGCTAAATGTTGCATATTCATCCTAGAAGCTTCTCTGGGCTCAGGATTAACCATTTAGTACCTCGTATCTAGGCTCCCTGAGCAGTACACGTGGTTTGTGCTGGACTACTAACCTAAATAAGGATGACAGAAGCATCGATGCCTTTGCACTATGGTGCTGGAGAAGGGTATTGAATATAGCATGGATTACCAAGAGAACAAACAGATCTATCCTGGAGAAGTGAAACCAAGGCTCCTTGGAGGCAGGATTTTGAGGCTCCATCTCACATACTTTAGGCACATGGCCAGGAAGGTCCAATGCTTGGAGGACATCATGTGTGGACAGCACAGGAGAAGACCCCAGATGAGATGGATTGACACAGCAAATAGGGTAACAGGGGTAGGTGTGTCAGAGACAGTGAGATTGGCTCAGGGTAGAGTAGAGTTCAGAGCTGTTGTACATAGGGTCACTATGAGTCACAAGTCACTATAACAGTACACAACTGGACTAAACCTGCATGTGACAGGTTACATTTAATAACTCTGGAGCAGTGTTTTTCTAAAACACATGGAATCACCATGACATTAGAAGGCAGGTATTGTTTGCCATTTGGTATGGAAATATTTCAGTATTTAACTTTTGATATGGCTTTACAAAAACATTGTGTTGATAAAATCATTAAAGCACTCAGCTGCTAACCTAAAGATCAAGGGTTCAAACCCTAGAATTAAAACATGGTGGTAAAGATAACAGCCGAGAAGACCATTTAGTGCTGTCCTGTTCACACGGGGTCACTGTAAGTTCAATCAGCTTGACAGTCAGTATGATTGTACTAGGGAAGACATGTAGAACACCAGCCCTTGACCTTAACTCTCTTTCACCTCAGTCAGGTTAGGGGTGATCTCTATATAAGAAGTGCACTTGTTGTGGCTTACCCCAGGTTGTACTTTCTCCAGGAATGATCTTGAATGCATAAGAGTAAGAATGCCATTACGATTTCTGTTCATTAAAATAGAGCCAAAAGTACAGGATGCAAACATTTTTTTTACATTGTAGAAAAAAGAACTAGATGGGTGGAAGCAATGCATGATGCAGCCCAGTGTGGCTCCTGCCTCACATTGCCCTGAGGCAGAAGTGCTTTCTGCTGCACTTTGGGGTCCACTTGAGCATGATAAGCAGCAGAGCTCAACTATCTGAGGAGGTGAGGAGACTAATGGTGTCAGAAAAGCTGTTTATGTTACTTTTACTGGTATTGCTAGCCACAAAGCTAAGAAGTCTATCAGTTTCAAATATTTGGCATGAGTTATAATATTATTGTTACAATTATAAAAACTAAGTTTCATCTTGGCTGCTATTCTTGGCTACCTGAGCAGCCCTAAAATTCATCCCAGAATAGTTTATGAGTGACATTTCTAAGCAGGCTTTATACAAGTCATCTGAATGCCAGGTCATTCACAGTTAGCAAGGTCATCATGTAGGAGGATGTGGTAGCCTTAAAGAATGGCTGCTTACCGTTGGGACTTGCTGCTCAAGAGCAACTCAGAGCCTGTGTGAAGCCTTAAAATGTTTTGATGAGGGGCTTGGATCCCACACTTGGGATCCCAGTTTCAAATCCTGATTCTGTTACTTATTAGTGCTGTGACCTTCAGTAAGTCACTGACCTCTCTGAGCTGCTGCTTTATCATTTGTAAAATGAGGTAGATATTATTGGCCATTGCAGAGTTATCAGTGAATTTGCCTAAAGCTCATGAGCTGTACTGGCACAGAACGTGGTATAGACACTCGTGGTGGTGTTATTCTCCCAAGATCCACTTACAGGAGCAGCTGCTCATCCCAATATCCCTCTACTTTTAGCGGTAGCATAAGATTTACATGGCGTCTATTCCTTAGAAGCCCTAGTGAGTGGCACAGTGTTTAGGCGCATAGCTGCTGAGAGTCTGACTCTTCTTACCCAACTAGTGATTACACATGTGAGAAAAGGATGCACTGATCTGCTCCTGTAAATACTACAGCTGAGAACACCCTAGAAGCAGTTCCACTTTGTCATATGAAGTAATTTGAGTTGAAATTGACTTGACAGCATCTTCACAACATCTATTCCATAGAAGCAGTCAAAGGTTCAGTCTTATATATACATTATAGAATTAGCAAGCCATAAATTTCCACATGACATATGAAGACTCTTTTGGAAGTTCCTAGGGTTCCAATTCTGTTTTTTGTTACTTATTACTACAATTGTTTCTAGACAGTATTTAGTAAAACAAGCTAAATTTCTAAACACAACTTCATTTTTGTTGAATGTCTAGTGGTTATTGTGTTCTAAATTGGCACCATACTAATCAGACATTATTTTCTATTCAAATGTATTGTCTTGTGATTAAAAGAGCTACTAACATGATGTGACACAGTTACAGCATATTTGTTGTATAAAAACCATACCATAGATCTGGAGAGGTGTGGACATAAACATTAATACAATAAATAGACAAGAATTTTTTTTGGGGGGGTGAATGCCAGAAGAAAGTAATCTATAAACAATGAAAGGTAAATTCTTGACCTTCAAGAAAATTAAGTCATTGCACATGTCAGGAGTGGACAGTGGTAGTTCAGTAGTAGAATTCTTGCCTTGTAGTCAGTAGTAGGAATAATTGTGCTGCTATCCCAAAGGCTGCTTATCTCTGACAATTTGAACCCCCCAGTGTCTCTGTGATAGAAAGATAGGCAGTCCCCTCCCATTGCAGAATACAGTCTCGGACCCCCAACAGAAAGTTGCTGGATCAAAGTCAACTCAATGATGGTGAGTTTTGAGTTTATACAAGAGATGGAGTTTCAGATCTCTACCAGGGTACCATAAGAACAGCCAGCACACTGGAGGCTTGATAAATGCCATGCTTTTCAGATGAAAAGAGAGAAGGAAGAAATGCCTGGCAATCTACTTCTGGAAAACTAAGATTGTGGATCAAAACGAAATGCCTCTGTTATACAGTGAGTTAGGGGCCACCAACAAACGTGCTTGACTTGCTGCTGCCTGACAGAGTTAATGTAAAAGAGGCCTGGTCATCAACCCAGAAGAACCAGGCATTGTAACCCTGTGGAGTAAAATTTGTGGAGCACCATGAGCAACTTGGGGGCAGAGGGTTTCCTTTCCTATAGGTAAGCAGCCTAGTGCTGCTTGAAAGAAGACTTTTTTAATATATTCCAAATCTTCAAATTAGTAACCAACTTTCCCCAGAAAGGCCTCATTTTGTTTTCATTAATTTTTTTTCAAAGTAATGACAAGATGTTTTCACTTTGCTGATAAAAAACCATTGTGTGTCAAAAGACATTTCTGAATTTATTATGAGATGAGAGTCTAGCATGTTTCAAAAGAAAGTCTTGAAGCTGCTGCGATGCACTTCATGTCTGTTATAAATGAGAAGAGAATGAGGAGGATGTTTCAGATAAGTCCTTTAATCTCCCAACTCATGTGACAGAGACAGAGAGACGGGAACTCTGTATTGCTATGAAAAAAGCTTGCTGGGGAATTTCCCTAACCCACATACAAGGGGAAAGGCACTATTTCTTATTTTCCTTTCTGGAAGTGTTTGAAACACGGATGTTCTTAATTTTTTTCCCCCCAGTGTGCTATTTGGTTGCAAGAACAACTGTGGCATATTGCACTGCCAGAGTTGTCATACATGTAAATTGCAAAGTATACTTTGTAAACTTCTGCAGTAATTAAAACCATAAGTAGTTGGCGAAGTTTTCAGAATATATCACCATTCTACTCAAATCTTAAGGACAGATGGAAACATTAGCTGGTGATGATTGCTGGTGATTTTATCATTCTCTCTCTCTTTTTTTTAATATCTCTTGTCCCCTCTTTTGCACAAACCCCCTTTAGGCTACTTTGATGCGCATGCTCTTGCCATGGACTTCATGAGCATTGGGTTCCGAGAATGCCTCACCGAAGTGGCAAGATACCTGAGCTCCGTGGAAGGCCTGGATTCCTCGGACCCACTGCGCATGCGCCTGGTCTCTCATCTCAGCACCTGCGCCTCCCAGCGGGAGGCGGCGGCCATGACGTCCTCCATGGCTCATCACCATCACCCTCTACACCCACATCACTGGGCGGCCGCCTTCCACCACCTTCCCGCCGCCCTGCTCCAGCCCAACGGACTCCATGCCTCAGAGTCAACCCCTTGTCGCCTTTCCACAACTTCCGAAGTGCCGCCTGTGCACGGCTCCGCTCTCCTCACCGCCACATTCGCCCACGCTGATTCCGCGCTTCGAATGCCGTCGACAGGCAGCGTGGCCCCATGCGTGCCGCCTCTCTCCACGTCTCTCTTGTCCCTCTCGGCCACCGTCCACGCGGCTGCTGCAGCAGCTACTGCGGCTGCGCACAGCTTCCCTCTGTCCTTCGCAGGAGCCTTCCCCATGCTCCCCCCGAGTGCAGCTGCTGCCGTGGCGGCCACGACAGCCATCAGCCCGCCTTTATCAGTATCAGCCACTTCCAGCCCTCAGCAGACAGGCAGTGGAACAAATAAACCTTACCGACCCTGGGGGACAGAAGTTGGAGCTTTTTAAGTTTGCAAGGAAACTTCCGTTGATAACTTGCAGTAGTAATTGAATGTCCTTCATTTCACAAATCAGCCTCAAACCTCTGCATCCAAAAGGTAATCATAGAGATGTCTGCAGATCCGCAAAGGAACAATAAAGCTATTTGAGTCACAAACCTCACAAATGGGAATGTGGTATTTTTCCTCCTTTTTATTTTTTAAAGGCAGCTTTCTAACTGACATCAGCAACTTTTGAAAATGTCCTTCTTGTTTCCATTTAGAAGTTTCTTGGAAAATATATGGGCTGGCCCATCTAGCAATGCATCAGTCTGTCAGAATTGTGGACAAGAAATGCACTGACTGAATTCTCTTGAAAATGGATGGAAAAAAATACTAATGTTTCATAAGTGCCTGAGCTAGTATGGTTTTATTCTAAACACCTAACATTGCACAAGTAAAGAACGTACAGTTTGGGTTAAGAGGGGAAAGGAACACAAGTCTTGCATTAGGCTGTGGACATTCATTACAATTCAATTCCTGACAAGAATGTTTTTTGAAACCAGCAGGTTTTTATTGGCCAAAAGGATTGCAGAAAATAATTTTCATGTTGAAAGAGTTTTATCTTACCTAGTTAACTTTCTTTGTACAGACTTGCCAAGTAGTGGCATTCAGCAATGCATTGGTATAAGCAATTATCCCATCAGTGCTTGGATTAACATGCATTTCTGTCTTGCCTTCAAGACCCCAGGCACTTTTCTTTTCTTTCTTTTCTTTTTTTTTTTTTATGGCTCAAAATAGTGGTGGTGCTTCATATATATACAAACCATACACTTACCTAGTGCACCTAGATGTGATTGCCTACCGGGCCCAGTCAGACTGTTGGATTCATGCCAGCCTGAAAACGTCAGTTTCTAAACATACGGATTAATTTATTTTCACTTGGGTGATTTTTTTACATGTTTATCCTCTCCGTTTTCTCCTGGTAATATAGCTATTCTTTTTACCTTTTGGGAGAAGTCACATTTCTGGAGGTGATTAGACAGGGAGAGAATACTGAGGAGAGGAAAGTCCTGATTCTTAAGTGCTCTTTATCAAGTTAGTGATGGTATTTGATCCCAAATCAAGATGAATGTATGCAATAGGATGTACATAAATTATTTTTGTCCAGGCCTAGACTAGTGCTGCATAATGGTGTTTTGGTTTTGTTTCTTGCTTTTGTTTTGTGACTTAAAATAATCTCATTTAATACCTTGAAAGTGAGCACGTGAGATTTTGTATTTGAAAGATAGAGACACAGCATGTATTATTATGCACTTCATTTCTCTGCTGTGTGGAGAAAGCAATAGACATTATGAGAATGTTAAACATTATACAAAATTATACTTTTAAATATTTGTTTTAAAATTGCTGTGCCTAGTCATTTTCTTTTTATATTACTTTGTAACTTTCTATGCAAAGTCTTTACATATCACTAATTAAATGAAGTCCTTTTTGACTTTATATATAGAGGATGAAAAGGTTGCAGAAAGAAAAGTTTAAGTGGGGTTTCGTCTGCTAATTAAACCATGACTTTCCTTTTTGCTTTCAAAGTCATCTGTCTGATTTAATTCACAACATTCTTAAAAACATCATTTTTCTGTGCTTGTAAATCAATTAAGCATAAGTGGATATGACATCACTTGGCGGGAGGAAGTGATCCACTTCCTCCATCTTTTATTGTATTTACGGTTCTTAGAAAAGTACAAATATAAGACTTTCAAATAAGACTATACCAAATACAGGATAATAATCTAGAATGTGTCATTGCTAGCAAAATTTTGTAGAAAGTTTGTAAAACATCATTTGCAAACATGATATGGAATGTAAACTGATAATAGATGCTCTGTACCTCAATGAAAATATTCTCTCTTTAAAAAGTTTGTGAGTATCCTTCACTTCCAAGAATCCTACCTGAAGCCATTGGCAGTGTTTCTGAAGCTGTTGAACCAAAGAATGTGAATGGAAACCAATGTGTTTCTTATACTACCAATGCTCAAAGTTAGAGGGTCAATGGGAAGATTTAATTTGGGCAATTAATCTGTTTTGTCTGTAATCAAGTTAGACCCATGGTGGGGAAAAGGTAGGCAAAAGCCTATTACCTTGTTTCCCTGTCTAAAAAGTTCTTTAAAAAAAGCTGTAATGATAGTGCTCTGATTAAGGCAGCTGGCTGCTAATCATAGAAGGCCAGTGGTTTGAACCCACTAACCACTATAAGAGAGAACAATAGGACAAAATTCTTCCTTAAAGATTTACAGCCTTGAAAATCCTGTGATGCAGTTCTCTGTCCTACTGGGTCAGAGTTGGAATTGGTCCAGTGGGTGGAGGTGGTTAGAACGTGTGGTTAGTGTATCTTAAGATAACTGCAGGTACAAGACAGCAAATAAAGTGGATTTAGTAGAACTAATTCAAGAAGCTGGACTCTGTGAAGAAGAATATGGCATCAAGATCAAAGGAAAACTCAACAATAACCTTCATTATGCAGATGACATACTGAAAATGAGGAAGATTAGAAGCACTTGGGTGCAGAAGATAAGATGCAGCCTTCAATATGGGCTGCATCTCAACAAGAAAACAAAAATTCTCACCATTAGACCAGTAGGCAATATCATGATTGATGGAGAAAATATTGAAGTGGTCAATGATTCGTTGGATCCACAGTCAACACCCCTGGTACCAGAAGAGATCAAAAGATGTATTAAACAGGGTAAGTCTGCAGTCAGGGACATCTCCAAATTATTGAGGAGTAATGATGGCAATTTGAGGACAGAAGTATCCCTGATTCAGGCCAGGATTTTGTTTTCAGTCACTTGCTATGCATTTGAGAACTGGACAGTGAATAAAGCTGGCAGAAGAATTGATGCCTGTGAGCTGTGGTGTTAGAGACGAGCCCAGAATGCCCCACGGACTACAAAAAGAACAAACACATCTTGGAGAAAGAAAGTGAAGCCAGAGTGCTCCTTGGAAGAAAAGATAATAAAGCTTAGTCTCACTTAACTTCAGGCATGTTGCTAGGAAAGGCTATTCGTTGGAAAGAGACATAATGCTTGGAAAGGTGGAGTGTGGGCAAATGAGAGGAAAACCCTCAACCAGAAGGAGTGACTGCCGCAGAGGGCTCAAGTTTGTCAGAAAGTTCGAGGAAGACACAGGATAGGACAGGGTTCAGAACTGTTGTTCATCAGGTCACCGTGGGTTGCACTCTGCTCAAGAGCACCTAGTCATGACTAGGTCATACACCTAAGCAGGACTTTTTGAAAATAGGAATATAATCTATGTTTTAAGATCTAACATCAAGAAAACAAAGATTCTCACCACTGGGTCAATCAGCAGCACCGTGATAGATGGGGAAGAGACTGAAATTATTTACTGTTTCAGCTTACTCAGGTCCACTCTTGGCACCAGCTGTCAAGAAATCAAAAAGATGATTGCACTGGGAAAATCTGTCCGGGACCACTCCAGAGTGCTAAGGAGCAAGGATGTTGGTCTGGAGACTCGGGTGAGCCTGATCAAGGCAATAGTCTTCACAATCACTTGCTGTGCATCAGAGAGCTGGACAATGAGTAAGGGTGTCAGAAGAGGATTGGTGTCTGTATTGTGCTGCTATAGAGGAGTGTTGAACATACCATGGACTACCAAGAGAACAGACACGTCTGTCCTGGAAAAGATGAAGTCAAGTTTTTCCTTGGAACCTAGATTTTGAAGCTCTATCTCACATATTTTGAGCATGTTGCCAGGAGTGGTCAGTCCTTGGAGAAGGAGATTGTTCTTGGAAGGATGGAGGGACAGCACCGGAAAGGGAGACCCTGGATGAAATGGATTGACACATTACTGGGGTAATGGACATGGGTGTGTCAGAGACAGATTGCCTCATAGAGCAGGATTCAGAGCTATTGTGCTTATTATCACTGTGAACTGCAGTCAACTCAATGGCTCATAACAACATAAGATCTAAAATCTGACTGGCTATTTCAGCCTTTTGAAATGTAATTAGTTTTAGAGAATAACACTTTTTTTTAAATTTATAACTAAATACTCTCTTCCGTTGTGTTTTTTCTTTTTTTTCTTCCTAGTTATATATAGGTGCTCTGATGGCCAGTTATTATTGGTTTGCCATCAAGTCAGAACCTGTGGAGTCTGACCCTCCAGTAGGTTTTCAGAGACAGGTTGCCCATCCTCCCATGGAGCAGCTGGTGGATTCGAACCACATGTCTTCAGGATTGCATTTCCAAGCCAAATACACACAATTCAAATCCTCTGATGGTCCATGGGATAAGGATGGACATACTCCTCCTGTCTGGTTTACTGCCTCTGAAAATCCACTGGACGGACAACTATAAGTCTAGTCTAGCTTCCTGGAACACAGGCATTCCGATGGCCTAATGGGTAAATAGTTGCTCTCCCAACCCCAAAGGAGGGTTGTTTGAATCTACCAGTTGATCCATGTGAGAAAAATGGACAGATGCCTGGGTGATTTATAGCCTCTAAAAACCAACTCGTGTAGCTTTGAGTCAGTTCTGACTCATTGGCACATACCAACAATAATGATTATATATGGGTTATGATTTTTCAATTCAATTGATTAGAACATATGTAGTTAAGTGGATTTGAATATTTAATCCATTTTCACTTTATTTGTAAGAGCTGTTAGCATTCTTAAACATAATTATTGTCAATAATTTCAGTCTTTGGGGCTGTTTCATATGCTTCATGTAGTCAGTTTCAACTCTATAATGTTAAGTATAGAATTTACCATTAGATTTTCCGTCTCCAGTGCAATTGTTTACTGATAGTGTTATTCCATATTTTTGGTGTGATCATGATGAATGAAGAGATTGAAACTGTCAACAGCTTCATTTTACTTGGATCCACAGTTAACACCTTTGATACCAGCAGTCAGGAAATGAGGAGATGCATTGCACTGGGAAAATCTGCAGTTGAGGACCTTTCCAAAGTATTGAGGAGTAATGATGTCAGTTTAAGATCTAAGGTGCATCTGATTCAAGCTTTCCAATTACTTGCTATGCATCTGAGAGCTGGACAATGAATAAGGATGACAGAAAAAGAATTGACGCCTTTGAGCTGTGGTTTGGGAGAAGAACACTGAACATCCCTTAAGTGGCCAAGAAAACGAACAGATATG